GGATGGATCTGCTTCTTTTATTTTTTTGCTTTTTCACTTTCACCATCTTTCACTAGATGGTGAAAGATGTCACAGCAGAGGTCAGAGGTGATGTGCGAGTGGGTGCACTTTTACTCACCTGCAGCCGTGCATTCATTAGCATGAATTCTTGTTGCTTTTTTAAATTGTCATCCATGGATTTGGACAGTAGGACACCCATGGCTGCGTTGGCGTTTCTGTGAATTAAACACGCAGTCATTCAAACGTGCTGCTCTGCTCTCATCACAGCAGCAAACAAAATTCCAGAGTCGGGCTTAAAAAAGCCACCTGCTTCAAACTGGATTTGTTTCAGCATGTAGTGACCTATTCAGTCCTTCAGTGTCTCTTCACTTCAGCTTTAGCTTTAGGCCTCAACTCCGTTAAGTTAGCGAATAACAACACGACTACTGTCTTTAACCTAAATGAAACTGTTGTCAGTATAAACTTTTATATTTCATGACAAGTTGGAGAACTTAAAATAAAAGCTTTACATACCCCAAACACTTTGAAGACTGTAAGCTAAATGCTGGGGAAAGGACTCCGGGGTAGATCGTCAAAATAAAAGCTGCGCGCACTGCTTTTTTTAGCGGAAGGAAATGACGTCTTACTTCCGGCTAAACTAAATTTTTTTGTTTTGTTTTATTCATTCATTTATTTGCATTCGAAATATAAAGAGTAAGTTGAATGAAATGAAAATAATAAATAATAAAACATAAATAATAGAAAACAACAAAGACTGCAATACAATTAAAACACAGGAAATAGTTTTTATAGGTTTTCATCTCAGTTTTCATTTTAGTCACATTTGTAAAACACTTATTTTAAAACAAACACAAAAGCAAGTTGACAAGATCAACCAAAACAAAACAAATCTATGATGATTTTGTCAGAGTGAGTATAGGAAGGGACAGAATGATTACTTGAAGGCTAAAGTGAGTTAGATGGTGTAGTTTGGCTCCCTCTACTGGTTCTCATGGGTCACTTAAATAGTAGCGTTACACGTTGACTCGTTGAATGAATGGCTTGATTTAAGATACGTAAACTCCGGTGGTGGAGTTTATATTAAAGCAATAATAATAATAATAATAATAATAATAATAATAATAATAATAATAATAATAATAATAATAATATAGCCTAGTATTCCTATTTAACAGTGTGGATGGTGGATACATGACCAGCAGAGAGAGGGACTGACTTTCAAAATGAAAATGAATTCCTGTCAGTTTTATTTATTCTTGTATTTGAAGAATGGAATAGCATTAATTTAGCACTAATAGTGATATAGTTTGAGATATACTCGGAGCTGCGGTGGACTTTGATGAATTCTGAAACTTCTTCTCTCCTGAAAGTGAAACAGAAGTTAAACTGCCAGATGAAATTTCATCTAGTCACGGCTGGAGTTTTTGGACTTTGAACCACCTGAGCCATCAGGTGTGACATGATCCTACCATGAATTTGCGGGAAAAATAGCATCCCATGCTTGTTCTTCTTCAGTTTTTCCCTTGTGAATTCATGAATCAAAAGCAAAATGAACTGGACTTATGTGATAGTTTCATGCTGCAGTGACTCATATCAAGCCAAGCTATCATGTACCATCAGTGAATTACAACGGCAGCGGGAACTTCTCATCTGTCACCTTCCTGGCAACTTCACATGACAAACGCTAACTTAAATAAACCGTGTAGAGATATGTCACACAGAGAAGTCACAGTGTTAAGTACATGTGTGAACGGTCGTCACTGTGGACAAAACTTCTCCGTATTACATCTGTTTTTCTTTTTGAATACAATAATTTACTTATTAATAATTTTAATTAATAACATTTAAAGGAAAAATAAATAAAAGATGTCATGTCAGTGTTTCAAATATCCTTGCCTCGCCAACACCGTGTCTTTGTCATAGTACCTTTTACAGACAGACAGCTATTTTACCTGTTTTACTTCCGTAAGTGAAAAAGACTGTGAAAATAAAGCTTCTCGTCACATTAGTTGATATTCCTGATTCAGGCAAGAGGTAAGCACATGGGAAACCCAGAAATGTTTTATGGTTCGATGTTATGCAGGTTGGCACAGGATAATGTCTGGATGACACCCTGCTGTATATTCCACGTGGGGAATGACTTGACATGCAGGTAAAAATTCCCTCAAATAAGGTTTGTTCATTCAACTCCAGGTTTCCAGCTTTCAGCACATGACTTGTTACGTGTTGTGTAAACATCTTGGTTTTGCGTGTGTGTTGATTTAAATGGTACTTTTTACAAATACATTTACATGCCAAACAAAAATTCCACAGTATTGACTGCTCTGGGGTATTGTGTCAAATACATGTGACTTAAACTCAGTGGGCAAAATTCTGCTTTGTTTAAATTTACTCATTAATATTGCACGATGGCTTTAGTCTTTATATGCAATACTTCTCATCAGAGTAGCTGTTATGTTAGGGTGGCATAGTGCTGTCATGGTTAGGACTGTCCCCTCACAGCAAGAAGGTCCTGGGTTTGGGTCCTGCGTGGATTTTGGATGTTCTCCCCATATCTCCCCGTGTGTGGGTCTACACCGGGTATTCCTGCTTCCTCTCACAGTCCGGGTGGATGGATGGATAAGAAATGCTGAGGCAGCAGTACTTTCAGAGCTCATTTAACAACTTCACAACCAAAGGTTCACTCAGCACCCACCTATAGCTCTTCTCATGGTCTTAATGCATGATCAGTACACAACTTCATCAGTCAATCGGTCAGCTGGTTGACTTTGAATGATCCCCTTAAAATGAATACGTTGGCTTTGCTATATGAATTTTGCAACCCAACCTAATTTAGATCAAGTAGTTATGTATTTTATCTTATTCTTTCTGGATATTGTTTATTGTTGCCGTCATTAGTAATACTGAAAAAGTAAAACTTTAGTAGAGAAGCTTTGGTGGGATCCAACTTCTACCAGGAATGTGCCTGATTTACTGCCAGCACAGGAACCAAGCTCTAACTGGAACTGAAACAATGAGCAACACCCTGGTGGAGTCAAATGTCTTCTCCAAGCCCACAAAACACATATAGACTGTAAACGTGTAGACACATAGCCACCTAGGTGAGGGGTTTTTAGGCATGTCCTGCTGGGAAGAAGACATGGGGGAGACCCAGGAAACACTGGCCTGGTGGCCTAGGAGGGGATAGGTCTCTGCTTAGACTTCGACTCTGTTGACCCAGATCCAGAAAAGAAGATAGATGGATAGATTCTGAGTTAAAAACTTAATCAAAGAGTTACAGAGACACTATTAATAACTGTAGTTTTTAGAGGTGTTACATGATAATAGACTATACTAAACACTTTTAAGTGGAATGAGTATGGCAAACACTGAGCTGAGGTTAATAAGATCATGTCTTGCTCATTACTTACCATCAACAGCGTATTACTATGATGTAGTAGAGGGGAAAACCTTAGGTACTGGCCCTGCTGGTGTTAAGTATGGAAAGGAAGGATGAAGCATTAATAAGTTACTAATAAAGTGATACTGTGCTATTAATAATCAATTTGTAAATGATAAATATTTAACTTAGCATACTGAAATTCAAATAATTACATGCAGTTTAAAAAGAACATCTAAATATGAAGACAATGAACAAAAATTACAAAGTATTATTGTATAGTATTTAATTTTTGGTACTTTAACCCTGAGTCAAAGTATAAAAAAAGCCAACGACATCATTGATTGATTGATCTTAACCCTAACCCATGGTAGTAGTTAATTAGTTTTCTCAAGTCTTGATAACCAGAGAAATGTAACCATTAGCCATTATAAGTGGTACATTAAATAAATAAATAAATTTTCTAAGAAAAAGTCCTTCTTGATTCTTTCCCCCAAGATATAGAGTTAGGATTACGACCTATGATTCCTTAGACCGAAATTTGCTGCTGCTGGAATTTTACTTATTATTTACACTAAAATATTTACACAGACTATTTTCTTTAAGTAGATGATATCTTTGCTAACTCATTCATCACTAATGATGATATTGTTAGAGTTTTACCTGGATTAATATTTACAGCAAGTGGTCAAACTGGGTGATACTGAGGTAGTATAAAAAATTCCAGATAAAGGACGCCATAGTTTGGGAGTCCTGACCACATAGACAGAAACAAGTGCGTTAAAAAAAACCCACAAAAAAACTAACCAGTATTAGTTTCGGATACAAGCTACAGGACTCGAATGTTGCTCAATATGTGTTTGCTGATCATTAATGTTTGAGCTACTATATTTGGAGGAGTTTACTGTCGGGAACATTTACTTACAGTAAACACAACTCAGCTTCCGTGTGAGCAGCGGAGAGTTAATTTCGAGCCGTCTAAGCTTTCCACGAAAAAAAACGCCGTAATTTCATAAAGAAGTTGAGCTGAGTACAGTAAGGCAGGAGGCGTGGCCACTTCTCCTGCCTTAACTGTTCGAAGGGACTGACGGGGGGAGTTCAGATCACATTTAGAGCTCAAGGAAGAAGGAAATAACTAATGAGAACACAGCTGGCTGTTTCTGAATGACCTACAGGTAAGAGGACATATTATTTATTTAGGACAACTCAAAAAAAATTATATATATATACACATATATTTTTAACACTAGAGCAAAACCATCAATAATAACAATATTAATAATAATGTAAAGATATTCTATGTTCTGTATCTTTTTGCATGTACAAATGAGCCATGTACATTTTTTTCTGTTTTTACACGGGCCATCTATTTTTGACGTTAACATTTATTTTTGTCTTTGGATTCTGTTTCGACTCATCTGATTTATCTGTGTATGCATACACGTACTCTAAAACTCCCTTACTATCACGTATCAGATAAGACTATGGTTAACCAAACAGATGACAGATCTTAACAATCAGAGTTCTGCAGAACTGTAGTTGTCTTTCCACTTGGGGAGGAAATCCCGGAGAAAATGTCTATTTATATCCTACTTACTCACCTATCAAAGTTGCTTACTGTGTAAGCAAACAAAGATGCTCTTGTACACATTTGCAGTTGGTGTTAAGTTATATTTTTTCCATAGAAGCCTGGTACAGCTATACTTCCAGATATAATGGTGTGGTGGAAAGATGTTTTATGTAGAGAGGTGGGCTGTTATGTGAGGATGGTGCGGTTGAAGTGTGCTGGCATGGCTTCAGTTTCAAAACAAAAACTTCCATGTGTTATTTTTTCCTGTTATAAAAGATAAAGAAGAGGGAAGTACTTCTTTGGAGCTGAGTCATGCTAGATTGGGATTACCATGTGATATACTGTCACACAGCTTTTTGCCAAATTAAGAGGCAAACAAGTCTACACTGCACATCTGGGTTTCTTTGGTAAAGTGACTCATGTTTCATCACTAAAGAATCTCAACATCTGGTAATAGTCCCTTTTTTCATCCTCAGATCTCAATGGACTGGGCCCTTCTTATAGTTTTACAAGTGTTATTTCAGCCCTCTCTCTCAGGTGGGTGGTAAATACATTTTTTGGATATGTAGAAGCAAAGTCAGAACAATAACTACATATTTGACACATGAGGCACTTACAGCTGCAGAGTGAGATTATGTTAAAAGCATAAGATGCTTGTAAACATTTTAAGACTGGAGTATTTACCTTCATCTTGGCATTATTTTGTGTCATTTCCCTGCAGTCTTGTTCACTGTTGAGGCAGAGCAAAGCATGTACACGTCAGAGTTTGAAGAAAGTGTCGTGATGGGCTGCAAGTTCAACCCTAAACCCTCCTATCCTCATCCTGACCTGAACGTGACCTGGCACTGGATCAACTCTGACTCTGTTCAGGACGTGATCCGGCTGGATAATGGCGTGGCGCGCTCGGAATCTCCAAAGTATCGGGGACGAGTGCAGCTTCTGACCGAGGAGCTGGCGGAAGGCTGGGCTAAGCTGAAGGTAATTCCTGGCACTGAGCTACTCAGACTTACATAACACATGTTGGACGGCTTACCACTTAATTCCTACTAACTTTCCTCTGAGCATTAAGCTTGTTTAAACTTGCCAGCTCTTCTTCATCCCTAGAAAGTGCCACGGGATAACTTTACTGGAACTTTACAGGGGTGTATACTCATAAAAGGACTAAGTCTGTTTAATTTTTTATATTATAGTACAGAATAAAACCCTAATAAGAGAGGCAGAGGGAGGGATAGAGCTGAAAAGTTTTCCATTTTGGTTTCTTTAAGAGGGCATAACAGAGGACTCATGTTCTTTTGTCATTTTACAGTTGTCCAGTCTTAGAATCAGTGACGCCGGGAAGTACCAGTGTGTGGTTCATTCAGCGGATGGAGCCGACTATAAAACTATAGCCTTGTCTGTTGAAGGTGAGAAGTACATGTGTTGCAGTGTAGGCCTGTTACTTTTCTTTTCTGAAGATTTCACAAGCATTGTTCTGGGAATGGTCTCGTAACTGCCAAAGCGCATGGTCATTTCTGGGCAGTTAAAGTTTCACTCAAACTGAAAATGAAATAAAGACCACTATTAGTCAATTTTGTAAAAAAAAAAAAAAAAAAAAAGAAGAAAAAAGAAAACAACTTTGACAAACTCAGCACATGCTGTTATCAATCTTGTGTTACAATAGAACTTCATTTTCTTCCCTAGCATCTTATAAATCAGTGACCAAACACATTGAGAGGGCAGCAACAGGTGATGAGGTCCTGATAACCTGCCAGTCTGAAGGATACCCTAAGTCAACAGTTGAATGGCAGAATGGAAATCTGGAGACACTCAATCCCAACACCACTGCTGAATCAACACCAGACCAGATTTTTAGAATCACCAGCCAGATAAAAGTCAGCTCATCAGAAAAAAACAACTACACCTGTAAATTTACAAAAGACGGCAGCTCTGCAACAATTTACATTCCAGGTAAGCGTTCGTTCCCAGTCTTGAAATGGTACATGGTATTTACATGTCCTCCTGCGTGTGCATGAGAGTTAGATGCAGCTTATTGCTGTGTCTTTGAGATCAAAAGGAGGGCTTCCTTTCAGGACGGCGTTGCAGAAATGGATTTCTTCCAAAACAATACTCACAATATTTAACAGGAAGGGGGATGTAACATAATCCCAGCTTTTTCAGGTGGGAATCATCCGGCTGTACTGTGTGCCGCCGTTAAAAAAAGGAGAGAAAAGGCTCCAACATTACTGTACCTGTTTAACTGATCAGAAACTGAAATAGATTTTTTTAAACAGTCCCCAAAAGAGCAGATGACACTAAAGTTCAAGTGAAGCTCTAAATGTTCAAAGCTACCACAGGAAATATGTTCTCATAACCTGTGTGCCCGTCACCACCAACTTCCTGTTATGATTAGAATTTTGTTTTGTACATGTTGGCTTTTATCCCCTCCCTACATCAAACTGCAGAGACTTAGATATGTAGATATGATTCCCCCACTTTTTCCACCGCTTTCCTGGAATTAAAAGACCCTCCCATGTGTTTCTGTGAAGCTGGTGGGTGGTGTTTGTCTGGTGTGTGGATGTAGGATGCGTAGCAAATCTTCAAATGTGAGACTTGACTGTGTCTGCATGTAGGGTGCTCATCGTTTTCACACCAATATGGAAAAAATATATATTTAATCATAACACGTATCGAAACCGTTTCACTTTTAATGTGCTTTGCGTGTGTCATATTTATTTCTTTGATGAAAAACTAGCCACATTTTCCCATGCGGTATTTCCCACAGGAAGCTTTATTGTAAGTCATATTGTAATGACAAACACAAAAGGGTAGAGTTTAATGATGATCCTGTTGAGGGAAATGAGAAATATATTTTAATTCATTTCTTATACATATAAAATGTTCAATGCTAGAGTAAGAGAAATGTATTGTTAATACAGAACAAATAAATAAATACATAAAATATGTGAAAGAAGACATTTTTATGTGATCATATCTGCCATTGCACCAGCATAACGAGGCACTATAGCTGCTATAAGGTTTTGTCCTTGACCAGCAAAGGGGAAGTTTGTGGTCATATGCCTTTTGGTATGTTTGGTTATTTCCAGAGCGGCTAAAATTGCTAAAGCATAGATATTACCATGAAACACTAATCCCACAATGTTTTGACTCTTTTCACAGATGAAATACCACTTCATCCTGCAAAAAATGATGCTGTCATCATTATACTGTGCATAGGAGTGATAGTGGCATTCGTCTCTGTCGGAGTGGTCACCTATCGACGACGAAAAGGTAACCAATCAGTCCCTCAGTTCAGCACAGACAGGAATGCTTACATATCCTGTGTCGTGCTGCAGACATAAATGTTGGTTTCAAACAAAATGATGGGTAACAATTTAGTGAGGTGTTAAAATACCACAGATAGCAGCAGTTATCTTGAATAATGGGCTTAGATATAAACAGTTATCTCAAACAATGGATACTTTGCAAGATATTTAAGAAACAAATTCAAACTGAAAGCCAGTCATCTTGCAAAACCTGTAATACAACATGAAGGTGATCTTAATGCAAACCTGCATTTCCCTTTGCCACAAAAACAGACAAGCTATTTAACACCTCACTGCAAGTGCTCGCTCTGGTTTCATTTTAAACATTCAGTAAAACTGCATAAAATGTGCAACGACAGAGCTGACATCGGCTAAATGATTTTAACTTTAATGCCCAAGCAAAACCAAAACTTTGTTGTTGGTCTTGTGCCAAACAGCTCACAGACAATCTGAATTCATTACTCAGCACTGCAAAATGTATCTTTCCTGTGTCAAAGGCTGCGCAGCTCTGACTGGGAAAAAAAAAGAAAAGAAAACAACACATGCATACTCCCAGGAACACTGGTGACACTGTAGGTCATGTAAAAGAGGAAGCATCTGTGAACGTTTCAGGAGGTTCTTGTCCCATTTGTTCTATAATGCTTGTGATTTGAACAAAATTTTGCTGGAAATTCTTTAGCATGTGACCTGCAGTGTTTTTTTTTCGTGTGACCATGACTTAGCTTTTTACATTCTAATGCGTTTCGCAACTATCAGACCAGACCGGCTAGATTGTGGGAAACACCCAGTGTGGTTTTGGTTTATGTACAAGGGGAATTCAAAGCTAATTGTAAACGCACGGGTGATTTTTTTCAGCACGAGTTTATATTATTGTTCACACACCTCACTCAGGTTCACTGGAAAACTTATTAAATATATTTTCACATATGAATGTGTAAAAATGTAAAAACAGATAGATCAGGAAACTGTCACGCAGTTATCAGGAAGGCATGGATCTTTATTGTGGTGCTTTCAAGAGCATATGAAAATATTGGACATTTTGAGGAATAATTGAAACTTCAAAGCCGAAATATTAGAATCAGAATCACAGAGACTTTATTAATCCCAGAGGGAAATTGAGTATACAACAAACGTCAAGCACTGATTTAAAATAAAGTGTAGAAACAGACATATTGATACAAAAATATAGAGAAATATAGAGATATAGGTATAAATATACATATAAATATAAAAAGACACAAATGTGTGCAAATATCATATGAAATCATATGTCAGAATCATAAGAGATTATGACACCATGACACCAAATCACTACATATATGGTGGCATAGCACCATTTTAGCAAATATAAGGTCAATTAAAGAATGTATAATTCAAAACAAACCAAACTCAACAACCTCCATACATTCAGTGTATCAGTGCTTAAAGACTACATCACCTGCTGTACCAGTACGTTGCATTAAAGTGCTCTTTTTTGTTACAGGATCCCACAATCACAGCACTCACAGCACCAGGAACCTCCTGGAAAGACCTGCTCCTACCGCTGCTTCCCGTGAGTTCAGTGGTTATGTTTTTATTGCTGTTTTGCTGTTGAATTTCTACACTGGTTATAAATAAAACTGAGTTCTTCAGTGTTTTTTTTTTTTTTTATCTTACTGTCCTCTGTGTTGTCATATTTCTAACAATGCTGTTCTCTCCTGTCAGGTCTGAGAAGTTATGACGACAACTATGAGAATAAGATAACTACTTGTAATGAAGGTAGGTAGCTTATCAAGTTGAGAAATATAGTTTACATGATTTATGTGCCACTGAAAGATTATCTGAAAAGAAAGACCTGCAGGATATTTCACATCTTCAGCAAATGACTGACTGGACTTCTTTTTGTCTCCAGGCCACGTTGAGGAAAATCTGGGGTTGTATGTGAAAACGCATTACTCAGAAAGCTTTCTCAGTGCAGAGCGAAGGAATCAATGCATCACTTTCAGTGCGGAGGAGCTGCCTCGCAGACTGCAAAACAAGTGAGTCATAAATACATGCGTCCAAAATGATTGGGAAATAGACGACTATGCATTTATCCGATATCATTTCCCGTACACGCAGCCTTAAAAAAAAAAAAAGTTCTTCTTTCCAGAAAATCGCATACAGTGAATCCTCTTTTCGTTTACTTGCAACCACCCAGCATTGTGCAGAGCTGTGTGTGGCGTCTCAATCAGTGTTGTATTAGGTAGTGGTCCTTGTTAGCAGTAACACCATCCTCTATGAATCTACAGTACTAGATAGCACATTTAAAAAATAATGAGGTTATTATATTTTTAGGGGTCTGAATGAAGACAAGTTTATGGTCACAATTAATTTACTGTGTGGACTTGTTGTATATTCAACCAAAGCCTTCTATTACCTACAGATTTAACTTAATGAAAATATACAATGCTGGGTTTAAACACAGTTCCTGTGACAGCTAAAAACTTTTTATAATAGACAAAAGGGAATGACCATGGCATGGCAAGGCTTTTGTTTTCTTTTTTTTGTTCCTACATTTGTGTTTGCGAACAGTACTTCTGCCTATTTAATGCTAATTTATGATAGTTGACTGACATTGTCATGGCTATCAGTTTATAAGGCAGCAGTTGTGAAATCAGTGAGCGAGCTTGTGAAGCTCAGCTCGAGAACATTTTTTGAATGCACTGATAGCTACAGTACATGTCGATGTATCGCAGTAAAGTTTTCAAATGCAAACGTTGTTATGCAGAAGTCCCTGTGAGGTAAAGTAAAAGTAATCTGTAATAAGCCCAGGATCTCAAAAAAGAACTTAAACCTCACAGACACACCATGCTCTAAATTTGTTTGGGGTTTTGTTGACTTCACAATCTCAACTTTGCTTTTTTTTTATTTTCAGTGAAGGCCACCCTGTGAATCTTCCTGCTTTACTCCCGGGAGCTGGTGAGACATTTTTCCTTGAGGGACTTCCCGGAAGCGGGAAAACAACTGTAGCCCACATCCTAATCTCATCCTGGACTGAATGGCCCACAGATTCCCTTTCCAACTTCCTCGACCTCAGCGCACTTCATCTTCTCTTATATGTTGACTGCAGCTCCGTGAAAGACGACTTGTTTCAGGAGATAACAACTCAGCTTTCACTCACCAAAAATATATCAATAGAAAAGTTGAGAACTCTTTTAATCACATCTGGCAAGGCTCTGCTTTTGTTGGACAGCTACAAAGAAGGAAACGAATATTTCGATGACTCATTAAGGAAGTTTCTAAGTGAACGAACAGGTTGCAGGGTGCTGGTCACGGCCAGCCCAGGACACTGCCCCGAGCTCAGGCAAACGGTTGGGAATGAAGGAGTTCGAAAGCTTCAAATACAGCCTGCCAAGTACTGAGTTTAAAAATAATATTGTGACCAAAAAAAACACTGTATATGAGTTAGATTTTTAACAAATGAAGCAAGTGTTTTGTGTGTGTGTGTGTGTGTGTGTGTGTGTGTGAGAGAGAGAGAGAGAGAGAGAGAGAGAGAGAGAGAGGCATTTAGATTTTTATAAGCCCAGATATGCTGCAGAATGTACTGAAAGTGATGTACTGCATGATGATGTGTATTCAAAGTGATGCTTGGGAAGTTATAGACATGCAACAAATTATAATTTTGTATTCTTTGTTGTCTTGATTGTCACTTTCATTACTGTGCAATATGTTTTTTCAAAATTCTTTTAGAGAAAGTACATCATTGTTACTGGAAAAGCTGCATAGTGAAAGCGGTGATAAGAAACTGGTGTTTGCAGAATCTATGAAAGCGGCAATTAAAATCTCCTTTTTCAACACATGTAACAGTTCAGATACAGCAGTGGTTTCTGTTTTAGCTCAGTGTGTGTGCATGAAAGAGAGAAAGGTCATAGTTAAGGGCATCAGCTAGACTGCAAGCAAAGCAGCAACAGCTTCTCTCTGGTGTCAAGAGTAAGAGGAAGTGACTCTTTGAGTGTTCCTGACAAGAGATCATTTATGCCAGTAACATTTAATTTTAAAAAAAGAAAGGGTTTTTTTTTTTTTAATTCTTTTTTTAAATTTTTGTAGGTTCTTCATTTTGTGGAAAAGCTTACATGTTTACAAAATTTCAAATGGCATCGAGCCAGTAACTTGTCAGGGTTAACTGTGCATATTATCCTTGTTTTTCTCTCAGCCCTGATCTGTTGCACTGGTCGACATCATCTTTTACTAAACTCGATTGTGCGCTTTTTTGCTACGGCTGGTGACTTTACATGATCTCAAAAAGTCCTGAGTCAGCAGTAAACAGCACGTTGTTGTTGTTTCGTTTATCAAATGCACAAAAAGCGATGAACGTTTCTGTGGTAAATAGAGAAGTGAAAGAAAACATGCTTTAAATAAGAGAATGATATCCAAATAATGTGGCTTACTGTAGTTTACAGTCACACACGCAATGTGCGATTAACACTGCAACAAAACAGACGGGGAAATATTCCACCAAAGTAGTTTGTTGTCTTTAAGCTAATACACAACTAAAATGTGATTTTAAAAAAGGAAACTCAGTAGAGATGGATTTGTAGAAAGCTAAAAGAAGACCAAATCCCTAAAGACTCATCACATAATTTTACATGTAGGGAAGAAGGGCCCGAATCAGGGAAGCATCCAAGCAATTTGTCACTTAGCATCCATAGTAGTTAAACTCAGCAAAAAAGACAAAACAACACCCCCTAAAAGAAATTTAAATTGTTGTCACTTTTTCCCAAAAAGACCTCGTATGTTTGCTTTATTTCCCCATTTGGCAGTGGATTGGCTCGGTTTCCCTGATAGATTTTTTTGAGAGTCCAGGATGTACAAGAAGTGTCTAACAGATCATTACAAGTGGGATAGAAGTAGGAGAACCATCTCAACAGCACTTTATTACTTCTTGTTGTTTTTTTTCTAAGCCAAGATGGCTAATAGCACTCCAGTGCTAAGGCACGGTGGAAGCTGCATCATGTTATGGGGCCGTTTCTCAGTAGAAGGAACCGTTGTAATGGTCGGAAATGAGAAAGAGCAGAGTGCATGCAACCTAGTCAGCCATCTACTTCTCTTTCAGCACAAGACCTTTACCCCAGACAGCATCTGTTTAAAAAAAGACTTACCCAACTCCAGGCTTTGCCCTTGTGCACTTTGACTTCAATTCATTACCATTTTTAAAAAATACAAACTTCTGTCAGATCTGTGTGGAAAATCACACACAACTCTGGGAATAGCTGTCTACCCAGCTGTCTAACTCCTGGAGTTTATAAAAAAAATTCTTCTATATAACTCCCTCTTTATATCCAGTAGAATTGATTAACTGATTATTTTTGAAACAATCTGTGACTTCATGGTTTTTACTGGTCAGAATGTCATCCCCTCTTTAGATGATATGCTTTTTTGACAATACAACCACTACTAAAGATGAAAAAGTGTTTTTATGTGTGTGTGTTTTTGCATATTCTTAACGCAAACAAGCTTTTTCTTTGAGAAAATGTCTCCTTTTTCTTTAAGCTCACCTCAGATTTCTAACTAAGCAGTTCCACAGTAGTTTATGGTTGATTTCTAAAGCCAATTAATTTGTATACAAATTTGTTTGTGAAAAAAACCCTTTTTTTATACATTAAAATGGAAGATTATTGGATGCTTTTGAAATTTTAAAAGAAAAGGCTTAAATTAGATCAGCAAATAAGGGGCAACCAAAAAGCAACAATCCTGGAAACCTTTGCCGATGACCTGTAAAAAAGTATCGATGTGGACCAATTTATTTCAATAATGCAAACCAACAAGAGCACTGTAAATTAGATGATCACAGTCCTCATTAGGCAAACATAACAAACATAAAACAGTATATTTTTTTTTTATTTTATGCATGTGTTTCACTTTCACAGACAGCTCAAGTAAAGGCAGATAACAGATAATCCATACACTGTGATGTAAGGGCAAACCTTCTGTAAGAAGCTGAGGTGGGGCTGGGTGGGATCTTTGAGGCTGCTGTTCCCTGGAAAAATCTGGCACACAATCTGGAGCACAGGCATTATCCAAGAAAACCTGCTTTAATGCAAAACCAGGGTGCAGTGTAAACTGGAAACTGGCATGTCATCAAAACACAGATCATTCATCACCAAAGTTGGTGAAGTCACGACTACTATGCCATGGTATCATCATTTTTTCCCCACATGTGAGGCTGCAGATATTTAACCAAGTCAAAGGGAAGAATCTGACTCAGAGTCATCTGAGAACAACAATTTCTGCAAAATCTGAACAGCTGAATAAATCTAAATCTTACAATTTGCTGGTCAGAATTATTCTTCTGCTAACTCAGCTGCCTGAGTCACGATACAATCTTGAAAAACATTCAAGCATGAATAAAGGGGAGGAAAAATAAAAGCCAAATGTATTTAAGAATACATTTGTAACGTTTGCAGAGCTCTGTGTGCAAACTGCTGAGCTCTGCAAAAGTTTTGGTTCTTCTTCCAGCTTTCATTATTGACTGATCTCTGTGTAAAAATGAGACTAAAACGGGACGCACCCTAACACACTCAACACGCTCAATGTAAAGAGCAACTTGGCAGCCTGCATGTGTCGTACTGGGTACGTTTATATGATTCACTTAAATATTTTCCTTCCAAAATTTTAGTGATGTGAAAGGGAAAATACGACATACGGAATAAATCTGTTTACGTGCCTTTCAGTCACAAACTTGTTCATGAACTTCTTCGGCGAAGCCAGACAGCAGACAGTAAGGTGGTTTTGTGGGCTGCAGATAGGAAAACACAACATCCAGAACGCAGGAGGGAGAGAACTCGAATAAAACACTCGCTTTAATTGGCGATTAAATAAATTCAAAAACACAAAGTCCAAAAACCTCCGATATAATCAAACACTACGAGTCAGACAAGGGAACTCTGTACAACAGAAATGGACCCAAAGCAGACGACGTGTCAAAGAAGAAAGGGAGGACTGTTTTATTTATAGCCTATACTTACAACTTGATGGGAACAAGAAACAAGTGAAAACACTGAACACACAATCAGACAATCAGAAGGTCAGAAATGAAACAAGGCACCAGTGAAAACTTTTATAAAACAAAACAGGAAGCAATCCAAAATATATCGACTAAACACACAGACAACAGAAAGGAAACAAACTAATTGAGTGGGAAGGTAAGTAAGTAAGTAAGTAAAATTTATTTATATAGCACATTTCACATATAAAAATCACAAAGTGCTTCACAATAAAATCAGAAATACAAATAAAATAATATAAAACAGTGAAAAAATTAATTAAAAGCTTGTTTGTTTAAAAATGTCTTCAGCTGCTTTTTAAAGGAGTCAATGGAGTCTAGACAGCGTAAAAACAACAGCAGGGAGTTCCACAGCCTTGGTGCCACTGCCTGAAAAGCCCAACCCCCACGTGTTTTAAACCTAGTACGTAGGACCACCAGTAACCTCTGACCCGACAACCTAAGTGCTCGGGATGAAGCATGAGGTTTCAACAGGTCAGAGACATACTGGGGAGCTTCACCGTGCAGAGCTCTAAAAGTTACAACTAAAATTTTAAAATGAACCCTAAAATTTACTGGCAACCAATGAAGAGAAGCCAAAACTGGAGTAATGTGTGACCTCTTGTTTGTGCCAGTTAAAAGTCTTGCCGCGGCATTCTGTACAGTCTGAAGGCGATCCAGAGCTGATTTGTTAAGACAAGTAAAAAGACCGTTACAATAATCCAAACAAGAAGAGATAAAAGCATGAATAATCATCTCAAGTTCTGCCTTTGACACCAGTAGTCTGAGTTTAGAAATGTTTCTTAGATTATATAAAAACAGTTCCGGAGAAGTTGTTTACAGCGTTTTTCAAGAGACATTGAACATTGAAACAAATTTCCCAGAGGAACCCACCCGAGGGATTAATAAAGTTTTATCTTATCTTATCTTATCTTATCTTAACTGTCAAATATAACACCTAAGTTTCTGAGACTCGACTGAAATGAAGAGTCTAAAAAACTGATATCCTGCTTAATTTCTGAGAGCATGTGATCAGGTGCAATAATCAAGGTCTCTGTTTTATCTGCATTTAACTGGAGGAAATTGTCATTTAACCATTGTTTGATTTCTGACAGACAATTATTTAAACACGACAATTTATAAAACAGAAGTTTTGAAAGAACAGTATAATATAATATAATAAGAAATAAAGTCAAAACAGAAAGCAAAATGTTATACAAGACTGAGTCTCAAATGATAAAGCCAAAAGCAGGAAGTTATAATGACCAAAAAAAAAAAAAAAAAACCAAACTCAAGGAGCACCAAAGAAACAGAAACCAACCTTACCATAAACCACAAAAATAACAAATCCCAGGGACCATCACAGACAGGAGGCTTTTTCTTTAAAGCCAAAGGAGGGTTTTACCCTGGCAGTGAGCAACAGAAAATCTGCCCTGAAAGGAGAAATATCAGACTAATGTCCCTCGTGACCACGAACACAAATCCAAATAA